ATAGATAGAATTACTAAATCAAAATTAAATCTAATTAACATATATATAGAGAGATAGAATATATAATTACTAAATCCAATTAAATAAATCTAACATGAAATTAGATAAACTAGTAATAGATAATACATTTTAATCTAACATATATAAAAAACTATCTAAAAAACTAACAATAAACTACTATTTAAATTTTAATACATTTTAATCTAACATATATATCAAAAACTATCTAAAAACTATCTAAATAAACTAGTAATTAAATTTAACATACATTTTAATCTAACATATATATAAAAAACAATCTAAAAAACTAGAAACTTTGCAAAAAAATGGCCGAGAGCAGCTAGCTAGCAGGCTAGCTGGGGCGGATGGTGGGCCGGCCACGGGGCCGAGCTGAGCACCTCGCGCAAGGACGACGTACGGCGGAGATGGCGAGATCGATGCAGGCGGATTGGCGCGGCCGGGCGAGGGACGACGACGGCACGGCGTGGCAGACGAGCTCGACGGCCGCCGGGCGGGGCTCGACGACGAGGCCGGGCGGGAAGTGGTCAGCGACGGAGGGTGGGCTTGGGTGCGGCGGCGGAGACGGGATGCGGCGGAGAGACGGCGTGCGATGTGGGCCGGGCGGATGGCGCAGCCGAGCGGGAGTAGACGACGACAGTGGCGCGACAGAGAGCGAGCTCGACGGCCGGGCGGGGCTAGGCGACGGAGGAGAGATCAAAGATGGCGGTGGACCCTTTAGATCGAAGATGAACATATATGATCGACGTGTAGATCGAAAAGTAGAAGATGAACAGAACAGGAATCGTTCGATATATATAGGCCGGGACCCTTTAGTCCCGGCTGGTAACACCAGCCGCCAGCCGGGACTAAATGCCATTTAGCCCCAGTTGGTAAGCCGAACCAGGACTAAAGGTCCAACCCTTTAGTCCCGCCTCGGCTTACCAGCCGGGTGTTACCAACCGGGACTAAAGGTATTTTTAGGCAGGCATCGAAATTGCCGCCCACCCTTTAGTCCCGGTTCCTGGCCTGGGTCGGGTCTGAAGGCCTAAAAATTTTGACAGCCCGCCAGAGTAATTGGAAAGGTCTGGGATTTTGATTTTGTTCTCCTTGTTTAATACTAGGTTAATCAATTAATTCTATAGCAACTTCAATACTTTGCAATATTTATTTTAAAAAATACTATTGATTAACTAATTATTTATTGTAAATACGAAAATTTTGTAATCTAAAGTTTTTAATTTCTTTTATGAATATAGAATATAAATGTTACTAATACTAAGTATTTTGTTAATGCAAAAATATATTTGTAACTTAAAATTAATAAAACTAATATTATTCGATAGGAAATTTATTATCACATTATTGTAACGTCAATGTTTCAATTTTTCTCGGTTTTTGACCAAAATTAACAGGAAATTTTTGTTGAACCTATAAAAATAAACAAAATATAGTATTTTTGTTCTATAACTTTTTCAAATGAAAAAATGGCCTATATAAGGATTATAGATCTTGATGAGTTGAACAAACTTAATATTCAAAACTTTCCAATTTGAGACAATCTAGGGTTCCGAAAACTAGTTTGTAGGCGTCGAAATTTAAAAATCATAAATTTGAACCATCTAAACTTTCTCAAATGGAAAGTTTACCAAAACAACAATTGTATATCTTGATGAGCTGAACAAACTTGGTATTCAAAACTTTTCAATTTGAGACAATCTAGGGTTCCGAAAACTAGTTTGTAGGCGTCGAAATTTAAAAATCACAAATTTGAACCATCCAAACTTTCTCAAATGGAAAGTTGACCAAAACAACAATTGTAGATCTTCATGAGTTTAACAAACTTGGTATTCAAAACTTTGCAATTTGAAGTCATTTAAAGTTCATAATACTAGAGTCAAAGTGTTATTTTTTTATTTGACCAAATTTGACTTGGTCAAACATGCTCAAATGAGACACTAAATGACCTCAGATGAAAAATCTCTGAATACCAAGTTTGATCATCTCAACAAGATCTACAATTGTTACATAGATCATTTTCTCATTTGAGAAAGTTTTATCAAACACAAGTCACAAATTCTTGAATCTTATATACACTTTCTAAAACTATGTCACACACTTGTGAAATTTGAACTACATTTTGTTCAAACTTTCTCAAATGAAAAAATGGCCTATATAAGGATTGTATATCTTGATGAGCTTAACAAACTTGGTATTTAAAACTTTTCAATTTGAGACAATCTAGGGTTTCGAAAACTAGTTTGTAGGCGTCGAAATTTAAAAATCACAAATTTGAACCGTCCAAACTTTCTCAAATGGAAAGTTGACCAAAACAACAATTGTAGATCTTCATGAGTTTAACAAACTTGGTATTCAAAAATTTGCAATTTGAAGTCATTTAGAGTTCATAATACTAGAGTCAAAGTGTTGATTTTTTTATTTGACCAAATTTGACTTGGTCAAACTTGCTCAAATGAGACACTAAATGACCTTAGATGAAAAAAAACTCTGAATATCAAGTTTGATCATCTCAGCAAGATCTACAATTATTACATAGCTCATTTTCCCATTTGAGAAAGTTTTATCAAACACTAATCACAAATTCTTGAATCTCATATAGACTTTCTGAAACTATGTTACACACTTGTGAGATTTGAAACATATATTAAACATGCATCGTTGTATCATGCGGACACAACAGTGAATTCTTTCTTGATGTATGACCCTTGGTTATGATCTTGTCGTAACCATGGAGTGTCTTCATCATTTAACATGATGCTTGGATCTTTCTTCACTATGAAGGGTGGAATTCGGACATTTATTTCATAATCTTCTGACATGTCTGACTTGTTTTCAATTTCCACTATATTTATTTTCCTAGAAAGAACTATGTGGCGCTTTGGCTCATTGATCATTGAGTTGATGTCTTCGTTTTTTCCTCTCTTTGATTTTGTAGACATGTCTTTCACATAGAACACCTGACTCACATCGGCAACAAGAATTAAGCGTCATCAATGTGAATCATACTTGCATCATGACCCCGCTTCTTCATCTCCCCCCATTGTAGTATCATCAAAGGCACCATACTGAGCAATAATGTCATCAATGCCTAAATCTTCTCCTTCACCTTCTTCCATCATGACCCCGCTTTCTCCATGCTTAGTCCAACATATATAGTTTGATATGAAACCTGACTTAAGCAAATATGAATGAAGACTCATTGAGCTTGAATATTCATTTAAATTCTTACATAGAGCACATGGACAGCACATGAAATCATCCCGCTTATTTGCCTCGTCCACACCTAAGAAATAGTGCACGCCCTCAATAAAGTCTTAGGAGCGGCGATCGGCATTGTACATCCAATGGCGTGACATAATCTGCATTACACGATAAATTATGAAAACCTTGAACATAATTAAGTATTTTATTACACAACATAGATGAAACACACACGGTTGATTAATTAACTAAGCCTGGCTGCAACGTAAGCAATCCCAACTATCACTAAACAAACTAAAACTACAATGCACTTCAGTAACATAATTATTTCGTGACCGTACGCAACTAAAACAGACAAATCATTCGTCTGTTAAATATCAATAAGCTTCTCCTGCTGGCTCACTGCCTCATCATCAGCAGCCGCTACCTCAAGCGCACCCGAATTCTGTACGTATGTAGCATAATCTTTCTCTCAGTACCAACCATCGCATCCATTGCCCTCCCACTGAAATTAAAGCCAAAAAATATTTAGTCAAAAATATTCAAGAAAAGCAGGTCAATTAGCCATAACAATCAAATGCGTAAGAAACTCACATCGCGATCAAGGCACTTATAGAAAACTCGACCCATGTTGGGTCCTGTCTCTTGACTCGGTACTCCATCACAATGCTTACACTTACCGCAGATAATGAGAGGGAGTTCTGGCCTCAGTCGTTTTGCAACCGAACGAGAGGCCGAGGATCCGGTACCAGTTGTCATCTACTTTCTATACTTATTTTTGCAAACTAGTGTAAATTTCACATTTTCTAAAATAATATATTTAAACAAAACTAAAATTATTTATTTATCTAACTAAACCATGAAATATGTACTATGTATAATAGTAAAATACCAAACTATCAAGTGATTTTACTATTGTAAATCATCATGTGATTTTGAGCTAAAAATGACATAGAAATCATAATCAAATCCACCGTATCAAGTTACTTTCTATACTTATTTTTGCAAACTATTGTAAATTTCTCATTTCTAAAGTAATATATTAAAAAAAATAAAAATATTTATTTATCTAACTAAACCATGAAATGTACTACATATACTAGCAATACTAAACCATCAAGTGATTTTGATGAACTAATTTAACTTTTGTTTATCAAAACATATATGCAGATAATCATGTGATTTTGAGCTAAAAATGACATAAAATCATAATAAAGTTCAACATATAAAGTTACACATGCATCTACATCGCAAAATGAGATAAGCTATTGATAAAACATAAGAGGATTAAGTTTGTTACCTACAAAATCGAAGAGCAACTCCAATGGAGGGGGAGAGAGCAAGAACAACAGCAAGCTGAAGAATAGAGACAGTGAGTTTGAATGGAATGGCTCGGGCTCGGGGAGGAAGAAATGAGCTAGTCTATAGGCCGGGATAATTAGTCCCGGTTAGGGGGCCAAACCGGGACTAAAGATTAATCTTTATTCCCGGGGCATCACCCAAACCGGGACTAAAAGCTTTAGTCCCGGCTGGTATTACCAAAGGTAACCTTTAGTCCCGGTTGGTAATACCAGCCGGGAGTAAAGATCCCTGCCCCGCGGACGACCGTTGGGCAGGAACCTTTAGTCCCTGTTGGTATTACCAACCGGGACTAAATGCGTAGTCCCGGGGGCAAAAAAATGCCGAGGCTAATGCCAAATTGGGACATCGTTCTAAAGTCTGTTCTTTAGTAGTGCATGTTTATTTATTTATATAGAGTAACCCTGCGGATCCAGCTAGCCCTAGCCGATCCTAGGGGTAAAGGCGACGCGCTGGTTGGCATCGACGAAGACGACGACACGCTTGGGGTCAAAGCCCCGGGGTGGGGTGTCACTGACGGTGAAGAAGATGACCGTCACATCCCGCCTCTCGAACCAGATGATGAGCCCCGCGCGGAAATACGGCGAGCCCACCAGCTCCGGCCATGATGTCTTGTGGGGTTTTGGCGATGGCAAGTCTCCCATTCATGCTAGTATACTGAAGAACAACACAGCTTAACATTCACAACAACAACAATTAATAATGTATACTGAAGAACAACATACAGAGATCGAGATTAACGTATACTTACTGAAGAATATAATGGAGAATGTGTAGTATAAGAAAGCGTCGGTGAATGATTAGAGTGACTAGCTTGTCCTATTTATAGGACTGAGAAGCAAGCTTAGGCAGTGAACAGGAGCATCGCTTAGGCCGTCCACGAGTTGTGCAATGTACACCGGCTTTTGATGCCATACTAGTAGTATATATGCCATATTATTTAGTAGCACTCTCATTCAGTTCCAAATTAAATATATAGTTTGCTTTAGGACTCTATATATCCTGAAAAACTTTTTAAGTTTAGATCATGGGCAATATATAAAAAGTCACATATATATATACATCACTCATGCATGCATGGTTGGGTTAGCATACTCATCATGAAAAATACTTTGATAACATTAATTTTCACTATTTAAAATTGTATGTTCTTTACCAGAATATGCAAGTCCAAAGTGTCAAAAATTGAAAACAATGTCGTTATTGTTCTAAATTAAACGACCTATACATGCATTTTAAACCAGAGGGCGGCATGCATGACGTATGTAGCTTTTCGTGTAGATCCCACATGGTGATGAATTTGAGAAAGGGATATATAAAATAACCTCACTGTTGCATTGGATGATACTACACTTCAAATGATTGATTAAAAACTAATTAATGGGAGTGTTATCCATCAGCCACGATGTATGTGTTAATTTGTTTAGTCTTGTATCGTCTCTTGACAGAGCTGAATATTCGGCTGCTGCTATTACAAAGCCATGGTCATACATAATAACAAAGCAAGATATATAACCACCTTCTAATCTCAACGTAGCTGATGGGAGCTACAATCAACAAAGTTGTCGCAAAAACTGGCAAGAATTTACACCGACAATGCATGAAGAGCACTCGGCGATGTACGCTATGCACGTGCACTTATCACGACTCAATTGAAGAAACTAACGAGGAGACGAAGTTGTTGACGATAGTTACTCTCTCGCAACCCAACTTTAATTAGGAAACTTACTATTGTACTATACTAGTGCTAAGAATGGCATAGCCTAACTATCCTCCACTAATACAGCTTAATCAACTTCAGAGATGGGCAAAACATATTAACTAAGGCGGGTGAGCAGCCGCGTCAATCAAGGAATCTGTGTTAATCCAAAACAACAGAGACGGGCCAAATTCCTGCTCCTATTAATCAAATAAAAAAGAAATAAAAGCAGCAGCCACACCCCCATTCCTTCTGGTCATCCTGCTTCTGTTCCATCGTGTAGCACACATACCACGGGCGGGTCCTTTGCGACTTTGAGCCAGCATTAATTATCTCCATGAGTTGGATTGAGCATATGGAAAAACACCATTGTTAGATTTGTAAGAGTGGGAGAGGAACTCGGAGGGCAGAGATTTGAGGAGAGGAGAGAGATTGAGAAGAAACAACACCTCCACTTTGACTCAAATCATAAACCTTGTGCTCGTCGGTGACATCCATGTTGGACGTGTGGAAGTTGTCAACGAGCAGCTAGTCGATCTTTCATTCACTCCATTCGGTGCAGGCATCATCGAGGAGGCAGAGAAGGCTATAGAGAGCTAGAGACAATATAAGATCTTTGCACCATGCTCAGCGGCCTCCCACGAGCCAAAAGTCCAAAAGCTCACTTTGAGGAGCTTCTGGATTTTAGCTTCCAAGAGTTTTTTTGGCTCCTATAAGGTTCTAAAGCTGAGGTCTAGAAGCTCCTAGGAAGCTGAAACAAGCAGGAACTAAGTCTGGAGAGAAAGAGGGAGAAGGGGCTGGTGGCTGTGTGGGAGGAAAGAATAGTGTGACGAGGTGGATGCCTAGGGTTTGGCTTTTGTGGGTTTAGGCGGATTGCTCTTGAGGCGGGCATCCAAACTGGCCTACCTTAGAAAATAGGTTAAGATGCTCATCTTTGTGAAACAATTTTCAGAGGTGGGCTTTGTCCATTCGGACCATGATTTGTAGAGTCAGTTGATCAAATACCCATATGTGTAAATTGAAACTAGTGAAATCGTTTTTGTAGTAGTGCTCATCAGTCTTGACTACTCCTAATTGTCTCTACAAGTCTTGAATGACACGCGTTTGTGTAAAGTGTTGTCTTAAGTGGCGGTGGAAACAAATCGGATATATATGAATATTCAGATTCACATTCAAATATCTATTCAATTTAGATGTTGGACCAATGGTCATGGCGAGTGGTGATGGTAGGCAAGAAGACGAGGCGGTGGTGGCGTTGAAAGCTAGATTAGGGGAAAATGAAGGCTCAACAATGTTAGCGATGGGAGATGCTTGTTCGAGTAGTGGTGTATAGGAGGATGGAATAGTAGGGTGAGATGTTGGGTGCCGGCACCATTGTCTTTCAGACATAGATGCTGGTAAAGGGACATGTTATGAAGTTGGGAGTTAGGACTAATGGTGCCAAGGTAGCGCTAAAGGCTGGCCAAGCACAAGGCAGTGGTCAACAAAGGGTCGATGAGTGAGGGGAACAGGAGAGAAATACTAAGAAAACTATATAGCAAGAGACACAGGAAATATTCAGAGGACCTGAGGGAGTAAATTGCACAAGTGATCCTCGAACTCATGAAACGCCATTTTTTGGGTCTCTAAACTTATCATCCAGACCCTCAACTCAGGGAATGTCATTTTCAGTCCCCTAAATTTTTCTTTGGGTGCCATCGAATCTTTAGGTCCTGACCCCCTTCATATACTGACATGGCATGCTTAATAACTATATATATGCTTTGACGTGGACAAACATTTAGATAGACCCACACATGTCAAATCGTGTCCCTTGCACTCTTTCCCTCGGACTGATCACGCATGCTCACCGAGCACTAAGATTGTCTCCAACAAGGAACCTATGGACACCTAAACTCAAAATAGGTAGCAAGAGACATAAAATCAGCCTCCAACAGAGTACCTATATACTGAAGACCTATTTTGGGTTATCTGAGAGACACAACCTAAATATGAGCATCCTCTCTCCTAAAAACCCATTTGCAGAAATGATTCTCTTTTGGGTCTTGTTGTTGGAAAAGATGCCGAATGGGTATTGAACCCTTTGCCCGTAGTGCTACCCAAATGATGAATATGTCTTGTATTTTGGGTGTTGCTGTTGGAGATAGCCTAACGCCTGACACCGATCATCACACATGCCTCAGCCCCACTTGAGCATAATAAACATGTGTATGGTGTTCCAAAATAAACATGCTAACTCTTGTGTGTGTTGTTCCAAAATAAACATGTGTATGTTGTTCCAAAAAAAATTACTTGTGTATTAAATATAAAAGGATAAATACAAAGAACCTTATATATTAGTTTCAATTATCACGTCATCATATAAAACATGTCTTTCACATGTGTGCAGTGTGTGCCCAATTATTGTATACTAGCAAATATGCCCTTGCGTTGCAATGAGAGAAAAAAATATTAAACATTCATGCAAAATGATAACAAGAATGGTACATATCTACTTATGTTTTATCTTTGTAGTTTATTTTATGATGAGCATGACATCCATGATATAAGTTAATGCTAATAATAAAGAACAATGTGCTATTAAACCTATACTCCCTCCATACTGGTAATTCAAGTCGTTTTAGACAAGGCTTGGGTCAAATATGGGGAATATAAATCATGAATAACTTTTAAGTTGTTAAGTTTGGAAATATGAAAACCATATGAATAGATTTGTCTTGAAAAGTACTTTCATAAAAATATACATATGTCACTTTCTAATAAATATTTTTATAAAAATAAGAAGTCAAAGTTATGCTTTGAGGACCGTGTCACTGTCCAAAACGACTTGAGTTACCAGTATGGAGGGAGTATCAAATTAAAATAGAGCTTGGTATGTTTTTTCTTCCTTTGCAAAGCTCACAATTATTTAGCTATAAATATATCGTAACTTTATTTTTTCATAATAACCACCCATGTTTTGTAGGACTCAATATCGACCTTTGTAGCTTTTTTTATGCATCATATCAACCACCATAATTTTTTATTGATGTGTTAATGATTGGTATGTACGCCAATGATTGAGACCTCTTTTTAATTTTCACATGACAGTCCTCGTCAGAAATTGCATAAATACATTTGTCTAGATTTCAGTAGATAATAATCTGTCCCAGATTTCAGTTCACAAAATAATTAGTTGTACCGTTGACTAATCCATATTTTCATAAAAATAAGTTTTGTTTCTAATCAAACCTACATCAGATGGTGTAAATCCTTCTCCTCAAATCAAAATTTAATGCGCAAACAAACATAATAAGTGTTGAAAAGTAGGAATTATGCACCGAGGCTTGCCTTGGCTAGGAACCGAACAGTGGAAATTTAGTGAAGGCTTCAAGAACAATGACGACGAGGACCTCCTCCTTGTACTCCATGGTCATCTCCGGGTATTCCGGGTCTGCCTTTGGCACTAGCACGTCCTCGGTCATCGTCGAACCTATATGCATGCAACATATGCAAGATGATTTAACACACCTATAGGCAAAGCACAACCTAACAAGATTATAACATCTATGGATATATCACATTTTTATGAAGCTATCAAAACTAGTTTGATATTTTTCTAATTTTTCTATGATTTTTGGAGAATTTTGCAAGATCTCTATTTTTATAGAAAAAGAGAAAAATAAAAGAAAAGAAAAAAGGCTTGTATGAGCTTGGTCCAGCCAACAACGAAACCGGTCCGACTGCAAGGATTCAGCCTAGGTCAAAAAAGGAGCCCACCAGCAGAGACCCACTCAGATCTCGATATTTTGCATCAGGAATCCCGATTCATTTCAAAAAACTATAAAGGCTTTCCCATCTTTTCTTTCTCTCTAGCATCTTTACATCTGGAACCCTGTATTTCTTTTTATTCTCTTCCCCACTTCTAATCTCGGTTCAGAGCAGGGCCGGCGTCAGGTGATTAGG